ACTTGTAGCAATTTCAAAAATTTTATTGTCATTAAAGGGAACACAATTTCTGGTTGCATATATTAAAGCATAGTTATTTCTTGTGATTAAATGTTACACAAAATCTTGATTTTTTTTCATTGTAAGATAAATGCACAATTAGCTAGGTCTTTAACAAAATTAAACTATTAAAAATAAATTGTGAGTTTCTACCAGATTTAGTGAGTTAATTTTATGTGATGAAATGAAATGTTTTCATTCCCAAAACTCACCAATCCCCTATCACTAAGGAAATGGTTTATAACGACTGCACTTTTCTCCAGTCAGATACGGTTCACAGGTCAGAGTGTATTTAGCCTCAACGTTTCCAAGTTTTCCTTTGCACGTGAAAGTGTGCGTGCCAGGGCTCAGGTACTTTTCGCACTGTACGAGAAGGTCTTCAGATTTCGGATCTTCATCCCAAACCTCGATCTTCAGAACCAGCCTTGTGTCAACCTTCATGAGAAAATTTGAATGATCATTCAGATGCATATTTTGACGTTCAAAGTCAAATTATTTAGGTGATATAGAAAATAAAACCGTTTTCCACACATCTCAAAAGTTGATAAATGCAGAGTAATCTCAGCCGAAACACAATAGCTTTCTTGATTTGGTAGGTGAGTGGTGAAATACAATGTCAGCAGGCCCAGGATGTCATGTAGAAATAATGTTTAATGATGATAATCCACAAGAAGACAGAACCAAAAAACAGAAGTAGCTGGGAAGTCAACGAAGAACCAGTATGAGCAGCGACAGGAGAAAGACGTACAACCAACAGTGCAAACGACAAACAATTGACGAGGAACACAGACAACAGGTGGGACTAAATACACTGGGAGGGTAATCACAGGAACGAGACACATCTGGGATCAATCAAGACAGCACAGAGACTCAGGGGAAAACATGACTAGACAGAAAGAAACTCAAACTCAAAACACAGAACCAAACAACAGTACAAGATATGAAATACATCAACTAGGCTGTGTCTGTTTACACAATATATAGGTAAAGTGATTTCTGTTCAAATATTTTCAGATTTTTTTATGCTTTTACTTTTATTTGTACTAGACCATAAACACCATGAAATGTGCATGGTCTAATCAAGTAAAACCAAATAGAAAAGCACGTGGCAGTGTTGCTAAGTGTAATGGGTGCTAAAGCATACAGACTTTTACGAAACTTAGTACAGCCTGAAAAACCAAAAGACAAGACTTTTGGCGATATTGTGGACATTTTGAAAGAACACTATGAACCCAAGCCCTTATTGGTTCCTGAACGTTTCCGTTTTAATAGATGCAACCAAAAGGCGAGTCAAACTGTTGCCCAGTATGTCGCAGAGCTTAAACAACAAGCAGCTAACTGTGATTTTGGTGCGTCGTTGGATTCAGCACTGAGGGATCGGTTCGTAAGTGGAATTAAAAACGAAGCATGCCAGAGGAGGTTGCTTTCGGAGGACTGGCTGACCTTCGCCAAAGCTTTTGAGATTGCTCTCAATATGGAGACTGCAGACAGAGACACTCGAGAGCTGAGAGGCGCCGAAGGTGAATGGGCTAGTGAGGCAAACATTCACAAGGCGAGGCCCGTAAAAACAAATATGTGCTACATATACAAGGAAAAAAAATCACAGTGCAAATGAATGTCATTTCAAAGAGACTAAATGCCATAATTGTGGAAAGATTGGACATATTAGGAAAGCATGTCGAGCTAAAGTGGAAAAGAGTCATGAAAAGATTGTGCCAAACAGGAGCAGCAGAGAGACAAAGTATGTGACAGCTGAGGAAGACCCTGAAGAGGAGTTAGCCATTTTGACTGTTAATGCTGAGGATGATGAAAGATATAAAGCAATATTTGCAGTTGACAATGTTGATTTGGAAATGGAAATTAACACAGGAGCAGCAAAGAGTGTCATTTCATATCCTACATACTTGAAGAAGTTCTCTCATCTGCCTTTGCAGCCAGCTAAAGTGAAGCTCAAAGCTTACAATGGAGGATGTATAAGTGTTTTGGGACAGTTTGTAGCAAAAGTGGAGTATGAAGACCAAGTCATAGATTTGCCACTGTTGGTTGTTAGGGGACGTGGTGCTTCATTGTGTGGAAGGAACTGGTTGACAAAACTCCAGCTTAACTGGCAGCAGATTAAGTACATGGGTGAGCTAAAACACCTATCGCTCAATGAGCTTTTGGATGCTTACAGTGATGTATTTAAGGATGAGTTGGGCACATTGAAAGACATTACAGCTACCATCGTGGTCAGACCTGAGGTGCCGTCTAAATTTTGTGAACACAGGCCTCTTCCATTTGCAATGAAGGAAAAGGTGAAGAAAGAACTTGAAAGACTGGAAAAATGTAACATCATTACACCTGTGAGACAGCGAGTGGGCAGCACCCATAGTGCCGGTGCTAAAGAGGGACGCTTCCATCCGCTTATGTGGGGATTACAAAGTGTCGGTGAACCAAGCCCTTGAAGCCGATACTTCTGGCAACACTCAGTGGGTGAAAGTACTTCTCGAAGATAGGTCTGGCAGCAGCCTATCAACAAGTACTGTTGAATGAAGATTCTAAGAAGTACACAACTATCAATACTCATAAAGGACTGTTTGTTTACAACAGGCTTCCTTTTGGAATCAGCACAGCTCCATCTATTTTTCAGCGCATTATGGAAAACATGATGAAAGAGTTACCAGTGGTGGTCTACCGGGATGACTTGCTTATCACTTGACGCTCAAAAGCAGAACATCTATGCAACCTGGAAAAGGTTCTGCGACACCTTCAGGAAAATGGCTTGCGAGTGAAACGTTCCAAATGTGAGTTTAACAAGCCACAAATTGAGCATCTGGGACACATCCTGGATGAACATGGAGTCCACCCTTCAGAGGAAAAAGTGAGAGCGATACAGGATGCTCCCGCTCCTACTAATGTGAAAGAACTTCAAGCGTTCCTGGGGCTTGTTAACTATTATGGGAGATTTGTGCCAATGCAAAGCACTGCCCTAGCTCCACTTTACAAGTTACTGAAAGACAGTGTGACTTGGAGATGGACTGGACCAGAGCAGGCAGCGTTCAACAGGTGCAAAGGTCTGCTGACAAGTGATCGGGTCCTGGCGCACTATGACCCCAACCTGCCACTTACTTTAGCATGTGATGCTTCTGCATATGGCATCGGTGCAGTTATACAGCACACAATGCCAAGTGGGGAGGAGAGACCAATTGCATACGCTTCCCGAACGCTATCCGCAGCAGAAAAAAAGTACTCTCAAATAGAAAAAGAAACTCTAGGACTGATTTATGGAGTAAAAAAGTTTCACCAGTACCTATGGGGTAGGTATTTCACTTTAGCAACAGACCATCGCCCCATGCTGATGCTCTTTGGTGAGAACAAGAACCTACCTACCCTAGCTGCAGCACGCATTCAAAGGTGGGCTATCATATTGTGAGCATATGATTACCAAATCATTTTCAAGAAATCAGCAGAACACAGCAATGCAGATGGGCTCTCTCGTTGTCCTCTGCCAGAAACGAGCGACACTGGAACAGCATCGAGTTTGGCAACAGTACATTCACTGCTAACTGAGCATTTGCGAGGAGCTCCACTAAATGCAATCCAGGTCGCCCGGGCCACAAGTACAGACATGGACTTGTCAAGGGTTTACCAGTATGTCATGGAAGGCTGGCCTACTGTTAGAGATGATGAGAGTTTAAAGGCTTATCACAACAAGAGGAATGAGCTTTCAACAGAGATGGGTTGTGTTTTGTGGGGAACCAGAGTGATTATACCCTCAAATGAGAAAGGCTGTGTTAAATGAGATTCACTCTGGTCACCAAGGAATTGTGAAATCCAAGGCCTTAGCTCGCAAATATGTTCGGTGGCCAAATCTGGATCATGACCTGGAACAGGTCTGCAAAACATGTGAAACATGTCAGCTGGAACAGAAGATGCCACAGCATGTTCCACTGCATCCCTGGGAGTTCCCAGGTGAATCCTGGAAAAGACTGCATATCGACTTTGCTGGACCTTTCCTCGATAACATGTTCATGATCGTGGTCGATTCATATTCAAAGTGGTTGGAGGTATTCCGTATGCCACACATTACATCACAAGCCACAGTGACTAAGCTGAAGAGACTGTTTGGTTCTGCATGGAAATGCACTTAAGCTGGAATAAGTGACCTTAGTATATTTTAGTTAATGTAGATAAAAATCTTATTTTCATCTTAAAAGGGGGGTAATGTGGTGTATTCCCCCTCCCCAGTTTAACTGAGTTGGTACAGTCCTTTTTTGTGACGTGTGCAAGCTGGCACTATGTGGTTACTTCGGGTCTAGTGTAACTGGGTCTATATTAATAGTTGTATATTTCCACAAAATGTGTTCTTTCATGTATTTGTCTGCTTCTACTTGACTGCTGTTGTGTCCTCTGTGTCTACTATAAGGGGTTTGGTCCTCCAACTCCACCTTATTTTCTTCTTCTTTTGTTCAGGGTCCTCCAGGACTATTATAAATATTAAGTTATTAATTTCCTCTTCCCTTTTGTTATTCGTTCCACTGGGGAGAGGCAAGTTTCATAATCTATTGTAATCCTTTCATTTATATAGTTCAAATGTTTATTTTTCCTTCTGTATTAATGATAAGTGTTTGGATATTTTTATTTGAGTTGCTAATACACCTTTACATCATTTGATGCATGCTAACTATTATTTTGTATAGATCGGGTTGGAGAACTGGAGCACATGCTAGGTGCTAATGCTAATATCTCCTGATTGACAGGTACGTTAGCAGTGCCCTTTTGTTATTCGTTCCACTGGGGAGAGATCGGGTTGGAGAACTGGAGCACATGCTAAGTGCTAATGCTAATATCTCCTGATTGACAGAATAAATAAACGGAGACCGCCTCCAAACCCAGACTTGATGTCTTGTGGTTTGTCTGATCACCACACAAAACACACGATGCAGAAGTGCACCGGTCACACTAGCACAACAATAAAGAGATACGGAAATGGCCGGAGCCTCCTCTGTTCTTTAAGACACTGACATTGAAGGTTCATTTTGTACATTTGTTGTTTAGAAAGCCAAGTTTTTATGCTCATGATTTATTTGTAAGAGCAATAAGAGAGGGTCAGCACTTCCTGTCTCAACAACAGGTTAAGCAGAGCAGCGAGGGTGGGAGCCGCATGTCCACAGACACCCAGGTTGGTTCTGAGAACCGAAACAAGAACAAGTTAGGCCTAAAGGGAGGTGCTCTTTTCTTGTCATTGTGGCATCATCTAGTTGCAATGGAAACTACAACATATTTCTCATATTAAATGGTATTTGACCCAATATGAAATGTTTGCTTAAAAATTTGTTTGGTGGCTCCAAAGAATAGATCAGCTTTCTTTCAAGACAGATGCATAAAAACTCAATTCTCCTCACTGCTGGTAATTTAATGTTTTTGCAAAAATAGATGCTGGTATTAACTTTATAAATTGTTCTGCATCAGCAGAGTAAATTTGTTTGTTGTTGAGCTTTTTCAGCTAATCTGTGATGATAATGTTTACTGACCTTGCCCAAATTAAACCCAGCGTTCCACTTCGGATTATTGGACTTGATGATTTTGGTCCTGCGTTGAAATGAACCATAGAACATCTTGGCATAGCTGTGAACAAAAGAGGAGCCATATAAAAGGTGTGCTCATCAGGTTCCATAAGGTCTTTGTTTTTTACCTTTGCATCAACCCACCCATCAGTTTGTGCAACCAGATCTCCTTTGAGATCCCAGCCTCGAACAATGGTCACTGATAGAGTTCCCCATGAGGCGTGCTGAGGGCAGCAGTTAGAGGCCACATTAGGAGTTCTGCCCACACAGTGTGGTTCTTGGGGTGATTTCTTCACAGCATTGTCCTTCAAATACTGCTCAATAGCAGCTTTCACTGCTGCCTTTTGAAGCATGCTTGGCATGAGCTGATAGAGAGGTCGAAGGGAGTGCGAAACAACACCTGGATGTTCTTTCAGGCTCTTTAGCCAGTTCATGAAGCCCATGGAATCATTTTTGAAAATTGAAAACTCCCCCAACCAACCATTTCCTCCTGACACCTCTGTGAAATGCTGGTGGAGACCAGAGCTGTAGCCAGTGGCAAGGTCCTGGTTTTTTAGGATACTAATGCAAGACTTCTTGACCCTGGAGAGTTTAATCTTCCCCAAGCCAACAGCAACACCCATAGATAAACAGGTGTGGATCTGGGTGAAAGAACAGCAAAGAGATTTTTTTAAAATTAGCTGCATTACACCAGATATTTACATAAAGACCCAGACATGAGCAAAGAAGAATATGCTCATGTAGAAATCCTTGGAAATTAAAAATGAAAAAAAAAAAAAAAAAAAAAAAAAAAAATCACATCTAGAAATACTTAAAGTAGGTTGTTGGAAGTGATAAACTTCATATTTTTGCAGCTTCATGTATTTGGTAATAATATAAGTGGGGGTGAAAGTAGTTAGGCCCGAGCAGCTAAGCGCTGCGAGAGCCTATTGAAACTGTACTGTTTATTATTTTTCCCGTGCCAAATAAAGTGGCTTTTTGGGGGCTTTATCATATTCAAAAACTCACCAAACTTGGCGGGGGCATAGAGTCCGGTGAAAATTTACGTATTTTAAGGTCCACGGAAAAATCGCAAAAGAAACGGCTCAAGGGCGCCACCTAGCAACTTTCAAAAGACCCTTTCCTATTCACTTACTTTATCGTAGAGACTTGAAACTTGGTACACTTGTAGAGCTCCCCAAAACACTCAGAATTTACAATTAATGTCATAGTGCAAGTATCACAGATTGTCGGCCATTTTGGATTGAAGCTCCGATTTTGACCCGATTTTGGGCGTTTGCAGGGTTCGCATTTGATCGAACTCCTCCTAGGGATTTCGATCGATCGGCTTCCTTCTGCTCCAACCACAACAACCGCAGCTCCAACCACAACA